GAAGAGAATTTCTTTCTGTGTGCTTTCTGGTAGATAACTGAGATTGGCTGTACTGTTTCATTTGGGTAATAGCTGATGTGACAATAGGGTTATGTTGGTATGTTGCCTGAAAAATGGGTGACTTGTATGCATGTCCGTATGCTATGTGCGCGTCTCCTAATACTTACTACTTACGCTCTATGGATTATTTCTTGTGCTTAATTGGAGACACTTGTTCTTCTATATTGCCGTGGGTAATGTAGATGGGACCCTGAATAAGTCACACATTCCTGTCAAGTTCCTTAAAAATACAAACCTCTCTATTCCTTCTACATACGCTCCTCAAAACAAGAAAAAAAAACGGAACAAACCCAACCCCCCTAACCTTTCTGATTCTTGGCTTCTAACCAGTCTTCTCAAAGCAAAAAAGTTGGGGAAGATTCTTTAGGAGATAAAGTGTGGGGTTTGAGGTTTCGGGTTTGTTTGTTTGTTTGTTTTTTAACATGCTCCCCCTCCCCAAGGTAGTGTTTTAAAATACTTTTTTTTTGCATGCAGGACCACTTTGTCCATTTTCTTTAACAAAAGTCACTGAAATTTCTATTGAGATGCCGGTATTTATTTGTGCTATCACTTTCCAGGTATGATTGAACATGGTCTTATTGACTGCTCACAGTATAGACCAAGAAAGAGCATATCAGAGGATGCTGGCTTGCAGGAAAATACACCGCCGTTAGATGACTGCGTTTCTGTATCTGCTGCTAATACTTCAAATACAAACTTAGGAATGGGAAAGGGAAGCAGGAAGACAGCAGGAAACCATTCACTGGAAAGTCAAAAAGCAAAGGTGCCTTACTCCCAGTCAGACAAGACTTGCAACGGAGCTCAGTCCTCCAGTGGGACTGTGCAACACCTGAAAGTTCCTTCCCACACTTCTCCAGCATCCTCTGAAAGTGACTGGGAGACCTTAGATCCTAGCATTTTGGAGGAGTCTAATTTGAAAGGAGAACGTGAAAATGCAGCAGCAGGACAGGCTGAAAATCTTCCGAGCGAAGGCTCAGAAAGTCTGCCAATCACTGTGCAGCCCCAGGCAAACACAGGACACGCGGTCCTGGTTCCAGGACTGATATCTGGGTTGGAAGAGGACCAATATGGTATGCCATTGGCCATTTTTACCAAGGTAAGCTTGTTGTTCATGGTACCTGGTAACTCATAAAGACTGCTGTTTTTCAGAAGTGGCTAGTAATTTTGGTTACCCAGCCCCAGATGGACAGCAGGGTACTACAAAACACGCAAGTACAGCCTCTGGCAAGTGACTGTGTTCCTAGGTGGGTGGAAAGAAGGAGTACACACCTGAGAGGAGTGTGTGCATGCACACATGCATTCCACTTTGCTTTCATATGTATACTTACGTACTGTTTTCAGTTCTATGTGATGGTAACCTGCAGCCCCACTGTGGTTAATAAAAGGAATGTATCAGTAACTACTGTTGTCTTTTACTCTGAAGAATTGTTGATTTAACCTATATGGGGTAAGATCAGAGTACTTGGAAGTGTTTAGAAACCTTGATCTAAACTAAGATTCTGAAAGCTGCATCTTAATTGACACCTAAGCCTGTGTTTTCCTCTTTTAATTTATCTATATGTATTTATAAATGCCTGTGTATATAAACGCACAAAATGTATATAGAAATGTGTGTGTATATACAAACACACACACAAAATATTTATGTTTTATATACATATATATATAATTTCACTGCTCTTCACATGCTAACTCGTCCTGGTTGTCTGTGGCTCTTTCCCTGTGCATTGTGCTGAGCTGCTGAATTTTAAGCTTGTGCTGATGCTTAACTGAACTCCAGGTATTCCAGAGTCTCTCTAAGGACTTTGATGGGCATTGTCAGATAAGAAGCAACACATTTACAAGGGCTGGTTTCCCATAAAAAAACAGGGAGAACGCGTACCTTCTAAAGCTAATTTTGTCAGTAAAAGAAGTGATTTGTTTTGTTTTTAATGTAATAACCTTTTAGATGAACATTTACCCATAAAGTAGAAGATTCAGATTGATTTCCTCAAGCTGATGAGGTTCAAAGTGGTGTTTCTTCCTTTGGAGGTGCTTATTTGCATTTCCTTGCAGACTGTTGTATTTGATGATGGTGTTTGAGCTTCTCACAATAACTTTCATTAGAAACAGTACACTCTGTGGGCCCAAGTGGGCAGCTCGAATGTCAATGCCTGTATTGCTTCACGTTGCCGTTATTAGTGCTTTTTCAATTAAGATCTACAATGTGTTGTTTCTCCTTGTGGTCTGTCTAATCAAAAGAATAGCCTGTAAACTGCATTGTGTCGAGTTCTGTTGAAAATACTAGACTGAAAGCAAGAAGAAAATAATTGATAAGGTGGCCTGTGAGTGCAAACTTGGTTTGCTACTACGCTCATAAAGTGGAAAGGTAAACAGTTTTAAGGAAGCTGACAGTTTCTATGTGCTTACTTTCTGTCCCACAAAGGCAGTTTTTGTTTGAGTTCATCCAGTGTAGTTAAAGTAGAAAAGACTTTACAGCTCAGAAGTTATCAGAACTATGTGATTTGCAGTTATAGTTTAACCACTTACTGGAAAGTTTACATTTCTTTTAGAGCTCTTGTCTCAGGGTTGTTTTATGCCATGCAATGGAAGGACTAATAAATCTGGCAAATATGAATGGGAGGAGATTTTGCAAGATGGCACAATACCGTATCCAAGTACACCGACCATGAGGAAAAAGAGGTTCTTTAGTACCAGTTCTGTCAGATCTAATACTAATGTCATTTGCATTCTTTAAAAAGAATGGGAACACGCTCCTGGAAATTGAAGTCGTTAGACAAATGTGAATTTGGGAACTCACACTTGATACTTTAAATAGTGAAAGATTTCCTAGACTTTGCTACTTGAGTGTACAGTCATTAAACCTTCCTTTGCCAGCTTCTTAAGCCGCATTTTTGAAAATTCTCCATTTTAGGTTGGTGATTGTTCTCAAAGCACCGTTGTTCCTTTGACACAGGCTGTTTGTTTTCAGCTGATAAGCGCTTGTCATCTGGAAAGCCATCCCTGTGTCTAATACAACAAAAGGGAATAGTTGTGCTCCTTTCTTCCATATGTTTCCAATTACCGTGTACCGTGTGATGAAGTGCACGTGCTCTTTGTTCCTGTCCTGTGTGCCGTCAGCCCTGCTGGGTTTCTGCTAGGGAATAAATTGCTTTGTGCTTTATGCAATTGAACACCTGAAATTAGACTTCAGCATTAGACTTCAGAGGTATGTTTGTCCTATATTTAAAAAGAAATTACAATACCTACAGCTGCTTCTCAATGATCTCTCAATGACTTCCCTCAAAGCCTTTTTTGAAAATGTTTGAGTTTGTTTTTTTAGTTGGAATGTAGGATACTACATCAACTTACAAGCGTGGAGTGGCTAAAAAGCACAGTGTACTGCTTTCTATCCAGCTCTTTCTTAAAGGGGGCGTGCGTGTGCTTATCAAAAATTGATTGCTATCTCTGGAGCCTGGAAATCTCCACCTATAAAATGTGGATAGCAGTCTGTAGCTTTTCTGCATTACGTGCTTCAGGACTACCAGAAGACGTCCTGGTGTGCAAGTGGATAGGTGAATCTTTATCTCTGTTGACTTCTTGTCTCTGAAGTGACCCGAGACCTCACTCTTGTTTTATACTGCTTATTCTGTTGCCTTATAAACACATTTGATTCCCGTCCTTTGCATTGTGTTTCAGTCCTGAGACTGAAAGGCAACACAACCTCTTGAAAAATTTCATTCACGTAGAATCTGGTTGCTTTGCAGATGTAATGGTAGCAAAACAAGAGATAACTGTGGCTGAAATTGTAATAACCAGGGTTCATTCTGGGTGGAATGTGCTGGCTTTTATTTGGAAAAAATCTGAATATAGTTTTTTGGGGGTTTTTCTGGCCTTATGTTAATCCTCTGAACATGTCTGTTACTTTAGGGGTACCTTTGTTTGCCATACATGGCGCTGCAGCAGCATCATCTCCTGTCAGATGTAACAGTCCGTGGCTTTGTTGCGGGAGCTACCAATATCCTATTCCGACAGCAGAAACATCTGAGCGATGCAATTGTGGAAGTATGAAGCTTTGCATTTGAACTGCTTGAACTAGAGAGGGGGGTCGCGAGGGGGAAGCAGCGGTTGTATTGTAATACAGCTTTAAAGTTTCAGATTCACGCCCAAATTTTGACTTGCTTCCCTATGAAATAAATTCTTAAATTCAGAAGCTTATTAAATTTGTATCATTCACTAGGACAGGATTAGATAAGCTATGCAAAATTAATAAATGTTCTTCTGTATATTCTTATAATCTAATATTTGAATTTGCAGGGCACTTCTTAAATTTTTAGGTTGTTGCTGGTGTGTTTTTACTCTTTGTGTCATGGTCTTTTTTCATGACTTTGTGATAATGTCTAAAAAAATAAGTGCTTGCAGCTGAAAAACAGATACAGTTGGATAATAAAGCACATCGCTATTGAATTCCTTCTGATTTAATCAAGAGGCTAAAAAAAATAGTATCTAGGAAAGCACTGTATCAGTTCTGGCAAACAGATACAACATGTAATCAGCATGTGGGAACCTAAGATAGCTATATACAGGTAACCAACTTCAGAAATCAAAGTGATAATCAAAGAGCCTCTAGGAAAATCCATGGGAGCACCAAATTTCCCCTGCCAAACCCTGTCAAATAAGCAGCTTTTACTGTGTGCCAGGAAGATGGTCAGATTCTGGGTATATCGGAGCAGTGTCTGACTTTCTGAGAACAGTTAATTCATTATTTCCTTGGTCATTTGTTTCTTTTTGATATTTCGAGGGACTGTGGGTTTAGATTTGGGTAGCCATGTATATGTAAGCAGTGTTATTTAGATAAATGTTTACCCTTGGAATTATTTCAAACAGATAGAAGATGCTCATGTACAAATCCACGATCCAGAACTGCGTAAGATCCTGAACCCAACGACTGCTGACCTAAGATTCGCAGATTACTTGGTGAAGCACGTGACTGAGAACAGAGACGATGTTTTCCTTGATGGCACTGGATGGGAAGGAGGAGATGAGTGGATCAGGGCTCAGTTCAGTGCTTATCTTCACGCACTGCTTGCTGCTGTGATGCAGCCAGGTAGAACAGATACCTTGTCTAGAGACCAAGATGAGGGTGGGTGCAATAAGCATTTGCTCTGCTGTGTTAAACATGTGGCGTGTCATTGGAGCTCCCTCTGCCTAACTTTTTGTTTAAGGCTGCTTTTTCGGTTGTCTTTGGCTATCCTTGTTATTCCTTGGCAAGCTTGTTACTAATTCATACCTCTCAGACACTTTCGCTTGACTGTCTCTTTCTCTTTGATTTAATTAAGCTTTCCTCAAAAGTAGAAGTACTTGAAACCCCATATATGATGAGATTGAAACTTGGATGTCTTACAAATGCTACTGCAACCTGAAGTTAATTTTGGGGAACTAATTGGATTCAAGGATACATGAAGTCAAGCGGCTGTCTTCAGGAAGTTTTACTGGACTGTTCAGTTCCTTCCTGCCGTGGTCTTAGTAGGGATTCACATAAATGAAAGTGTCATCTGGAGGCTTTATAAGCTTCTGTTTTCCGGAGCTCAACATTTTATGTCCTCACTCAGAGGGAATTCTCTATGTTCCAGCCTTTTGTGCATCAATGTAACTAAATGAATCAGTGGTTTATTTGTGGAAAATGTTTAGTTTGCCCAGCACTGGCCCTGTTGACAAGGATGAAGTTACGATTATTCACATCAATTAACTTAATTCAGATCTTGTTCAGTGGTATTTGTAAAAAAACATGGGATTGAGAACTTAAAGTCTAGAAGATGTTAAGTTCTTTATCTGACAGTATGAATATTTTAAGATGATTACTGGGTTTATATGAACTGTCAGGTTTTTCTGGAAACTCGTGCTACTTCACTGGCTGGCTCTAAAATGATTTCCTGTACTCCTCCATGTTTTAAAGGGGATGTTGTTGTTTATTCCACAGTAGTTCATTCTGCAGTTTTGGAGTGGATTTGGGGTTTGCTAAATTTGAATGAGTAATAACATGGTACAGCGAAGCCCAGTGTATCTGACCGAGACCAAGGCAAATGATGTTTTTATTCTTAGTTGCTATGTGGCCATTCTCTCCCCTTTCCTCTCTTTGCCTAGAGAGTAAGTCAAGAGACCTATGTTTGGATGACTTTTTCCCAGTTGAGTTCTTTACTTTGAACTTTATAAATGAATGAAAAATAACAAAAATATTTTTAAGCTGCTTTTTTTTCCCCCTCCTGGCTTTATATATTTGGGACACTTCAAAAATGTTTTATCATCTTCATTTTAAAGTGCCCAGTTCTTAGTACTGGAGTTTTAATTCTCTTTGATTTGATAAGAGCTTGGAAATTTTCTTTACAAGAAAAAAAGTAATTTGTCTTGTATTACATCTCTAATGAATTGCTGCAAATTCTCATCTTTAATTTATCAGACAACGAAAAGACTTTGTCAGACTTCGGAACAGCATTTATAGCAGCCTGGAAAAATACCCACAACTACAGAGTATGGAATAGCAACAAGCATCCAGCTCTTGCAGAAGTAAATTCTAGGTAAGGAACCATTTTATTTAATTTTGGTGGTCTTTTAGTGCTTACCATGGAAAGCTCCTAGTATATGTAGTCAGGCAACACCGTTCTGCGGAATTACAGCATTCCCCTTGTTCCTTCTAGAAAGCCCCAAGGCTGAAACTTTGGGGCCCTGTTCTGTAAGTACAGAAACCGAGTATTTCTGCTCTTCAATACCTTGCTCCAATTCTAGGCTATAGTTTTATGAAGAAAAAATATATCCAGAGTCAGGAGAAGTGAAGTTGATTGTTGGCTGTTGCCAGCTGTAGAAAGTTTGTCATTCCTCAGGAATTGTCCTCAGATGGTTCTGCTTTTTATGAATTGCTTCCAGGTGTCCAGGGAGTAGCTGTGTCCAGGGTTGTCATTGATGGGGATGGAGGGGAGCTGGCTGCTTTGTGTTGCATCTTCTGTACTTTGGATTGTTTGATGTGTGTTTCACTCCAAGATTAGATGATGCCAGGCTTGGCGACACTGTTGGCTGTGCCTGTGTTTTGTTTAGCGTGGGTTATTACTGTACTGTAGGGAGTTGTGTTTGCTTTTGCCTTGTCAGCTGTGGTAGTCTGAAGAAGGCTTTTCTTTAGACTTATAAAGCTTTTCTGGCCTACTTAAGGGATCTTTTTTTCTTTTCTGTTCGCTCTGTGTTGCTAGAAGGAGGTGCCTCTGCCTTAGTGTGAAAAGATTCATCACACCTCAGCTGTAAATAGAAGGCAATTTACAGGTAGTTCATAAGAAATGTACAGTTGAATAGTCACTGGGACCCAGCATTCTGTAAAGCCATAGAGTAGTATACCTACAACAGACTTCTTTTTTTTTTTTTTTTTTTTTTTTGGTAAGCCAGAGAGGAGTGCAGCTAACAGTTGTCTGATATGGATTAATTGTGAAAGAATAAATACTTAATGTTTTCTTGGGTTTTTCCTCCTCTTCTAGCCACCCATTCCAGGGACAGTACTCTGTATCAGATGTTAAATTAAGATTGTCACAGTAAGTATATAGTACTTTGACTTGTATATTTTGTTAAAGTGTGGTCAAATACTAATAACTGTATGACTGTTGTTATGATGAACTGAACAAAATAGTTATTTAAACTGACCATGTACGTGAAATTGTACTCAGCGTTTTCTCGCAAAACGTCAAAGATGGAGCAATTGCCTGAAATAGGGAAAAGTGGTGTGAATGCACTATTTTGTGTTGGACTCCACATAATACAGCCCTGATTTTTGCATTGCAATTATAATGCTTTTGTCGACTTATTTTTAAATTGTAAACTAAAGCTGTTAAAACTTTCATGAGTGTTTTTCTGTATATCGATTTTAGGTCTCATTATTAGGAGAAAACAGCTTTTTTAAATTAGCTGCTTTTTAATGCAGCATTGTTCTAAAACTGTGAGAGTTCACTGTGTATGTACTTCAGACGTGGCTTAGTTTCTTCAATTTAGATGTTTAAAATGAGTTTTACATCGCCTCTTATTGCACCAAACTCAACTGCACTTTCAGCTGGTCTCAGCTCTTACCTGTGCTGCTGAAGTCTTTAGACTCAACGGTGCTCGTTGTTCCCACGGTGCTCAGCTCTAACTGAAGCCAGAACTCAGTCTTGGGGTTGCAGTTAACTATCTCGCCGTGTTTACGCACCGAGCGAAGCAGATTGTTTGCTCGCTCAGCTGTGTTGACCGTGACACATCAGAGCCGGGTTCCTTGCGGTGCCTGTACATCAGCAATGCACACGTGCCGCTGATGCTGCGCCTGCCTTGACTGCAGGCCATTCCTTTCAGCACGCTGTGAGTAGACCCAAAAGAGACGCTAACAGGGAAGAGCAGCCGGAGGAATAAAAAGGGTCAGACTTCAGCCCGCTGAGTCTTTTTGTTGCTTTTGCTGACCAATGGCAGATTGAATTTCCGTGATGGCGATTGAGACTGCAAATGAGTCACGATTTGTCTCAAGGTAATCGCCCTCAATAAGGTGCATGCTGAGAGCAGCTCTTATTATTAATGGATGGTCTTTGTAGAAAGACTAAATATGAAAGATGTGGCGGTGTCTACAATCTTGCCCTATTTTTGTGTTTGAAAGGGAAGATACTAACTCTTCTGAGTAGCCTGAAATCAATGTAAAAGGGCCAGTAGCAGTTCTTAGCGTGTCTCTAACAATTAATGTTTTTACAACAGTGCGCTTGTTCTCCAGATGTGACTGTGCTATCGGATGCTCAGCAACACGGCTCGCTTGTGCCAGCTGCGCCTAAACTTGTTCTTAGCGTTCTCTGTTCTTTCTTTTTGCATCTACGCTGAAGATTTTGAAAGTAGGAACAGAATGTGGCATGCTGTGTTGTTAATTTTTACGTAAATGGGTTTGCAAAGCCTGAAATGTTGAATGTTACAATTTAAAACTAAATGAGATTATTTTCAAGGGATCACACTTGTGCAGTAGAACTGATTGTTTTCGTACTTTCCTTTCCAAACGACAGTAGCGTCTGTCGTCTTTATGTATTTCTTTAACAAAAGCCGAAGTGTAAACTGTACTTGATCAAAAATTTAATCTTAGAGCAAGATACAAAGTAAACTCTGTTTAGAAAATAGAATAATGACTGATCAGTAACACTTAACTTTTTTCTTTAAAACTTATATATTAGGGCTAAAATTTCTCAAAACTACTGCAAATCTGCCTTTTTCATTTGGAACATAAATGCATTTAGGGAAGGTATAAAGTGTGTTGTATAAGAATGAACCACTGGGCGTTTTGACTCCTGTCTTGCTGACAGTATCTCTTCTTCCACTGAGAAGCTTGCCTAGCTGATCAATGTGGATAAGATGCATGCAGGAATTATGGGCTTGATCATACATATATACATTTATATATACACACACAAAAAACATATATGTATGCTATATACATATATGTTGGACTAGATGACCTCTAGGGGTCCCTTCCAACCCAAAACTTTCTATGATTCTATATAAATCCATGTGTATTGTTATATATTTTAACTATCTATTTTATTTACACCTGGAAGTAATAAGAAGTCAGTCAACTAACATTCTTCAGTATCTCTCTTGTTTAGCTCTGTGCAAAACAGTGAACGTGGAAAGAAGATTGGGAATGTGATGGTTTCTACTAGCCGAAACGTTGTACAAACGGGAAAAGCTGTAGGTAAGAAATTTATTTGACACCAGCTTGCAGCTAAGATGTGTCTTTTTTGAAGAAGCATCCTGTACCTCAGTTATATTTCATTTTAATTCAAGAGTACTTTACAACACAGGTACAAAGTAGAGCAGCATTTTGAGGGGTAAAGCTGCTGATTGAGGCCCTGTGTATTGTGTGATCGCAGAAAGAGAAGCAGCTAGGTCAGGGAAACCAGTGTAAACTCCTTTGCCAGTGTGTGCTGGAGATGAACATGGGAAAATAAATGTTCAGGGAAAAGCTTTCTTGTAATCTGGGCATGCTTAAGACCACACCACCACCCTCTGCGCTGAGTGATTCTCATTTTTATATCACTTTGACTAAAACTATCAAGAGCTGGTTGAAATCGGAGGAAGACCTTGTGTTGGTGTCTGCAGGTTTTGCAAGAAGTCTGCGATTTTCTGGAAAGGCACTTGTTGCACTTGAGCCGGGGCAACATCCCGTTGTCATCTTGCAGTGCGAGAGAACGGGACTTCGCCCACTGAAGAATCTGCTAGCTGTTCTGCAGCAGGCTTGCCAAAAATTGCGTAGCTTCCTCTTCTGTTCCGGTGGAGCCTTTCTGCTCTTTTTGCATTTGTACACTCTGGCGAGGAGCGACTTTCGGCCCTCAGCCTAGCAAGCCTTCCAGGGCAAAGGGCAGCATAGGCCATTTCTGCTGAGCTACTGCATTCAAGTTCTTTGAGTATTTTCTGACACAGACTTGGAATTTTAAATCCCAAATTGGACAACTGATTGTGTGGTTTTGGGTTTTTAAAAATTAATTTATTTATAGTAGCTTAGTAATGAGAACACTACACTACTGACCTTTCTTTTGTTGTGTAATGCAGGTCAGTCAGTTGGAGGAGCCTTCACAAGTGCAAAATCAGCGATGTCATCGTGGTTTTCCACTTTTACACAGTCAGCCCAAAGCCTCGGGGACTAAATGGTGGCTCTGCACAATGCTGCTGAATATTTCAGGTGCAATGCTTTCTCTGAGCTGTAAAAAGGCTGCTCCGACACATAGGAGTGGAGATTAACTACCCAGGACCAAAACAAGGCATATGTTGCTTGCAAGCAGACGCAGAATGTGACCATTCAGTTTTGCTAGAAGTATAGAAGAACGGTGGGTGTCTCCATGCAGTGGGACGGCATTTGCAGTGTATCGGTTGTATTTGAAATGACTACTTTTCTTTAAAACTGAGCCTTTATAAAGACGTTAGCAAACAGGGCTTGTTGCAAGCCAAATGTGTTTGACTTTAGATTTGTACATTATCTTGGATGTTGAAAATATTTATGTAAACTAGTTATATTTTTCAATCCAAATAGCCAAATGTTTGTGAATTCTTCTTAGAAATGAGCAGAGTATAAATACTGATTCCTCTTTCAGGCTGGATTTGAGAGCATCTCTGCAAAAATACAGGGTGGAAACCCTTAGAGGGTTCCAAGCCAGGTGGAACTTCATTGCTTTCACCTGCAGACTAAAATAGGCAGGGTGCAGAGTAAGACTGTGGCTGACCTAAGGTTTTTTTTCCTTTCTCCTCTGTAGCCACATGCAATTGTTTGCATTAATCTGTCTCCAGCTCTCTTTGTGTCCCCAAATCTGTGTGACAGTTGCAAAATGAGTATTTTCTTGATGTTATGCAATAGGCCGTCATAACTCTGCATGTGTTTTGGCTGTGTTTTCATGCTGGGACATGAATGGGATGCCAGCTGGAGAGATCTCTTCAGGAAAAGTATTACAAAACAATTCTCCCGAATTGGGATTGGATCACAGAGTTTTGAGAGGTCTTGCTCTGTTAGGATGTAATTACATCATCAGTGTAGTTACACACATATGAATACAAAGTCCTAGAAATGCTTAAAACTAGCACAGTAGCAAATTCTGTGGGGGTTTTTTTTGGGGTTTGTTTTTTTTTTTGCCCCCCAGTAATTTAGAGACTCTTCCAAATGAAAATCAGTTATATAGATTTTCTGTGTCGACTCAGGGAACGTTCTGTTTGGATGACTACTTTTTTCATAAGGAAAGTAACACCAGGATTGAGAGAGTAACTGAAATGGTTCGTATCCTTGTGTGAAGAAATATAGTAGTTGATACGAAAGGAAGTGGCATAATGCTGTATTCCATATCTAATGTGCATGCAGTGTCTTCTGTATGCAAGTGTATTCCGCTTCCTACGTTTTCTGATGCTAGGAGATCATGTCCTGTTTCTTGCAGTGTGTGTGCCTCTGTATGCCTTGTAACATCCCCACATAATAGCTGGTAGCATTTTCTGCTTTATGCTATCAAATGTTCCAGCTTTCTGTAGTAAAAGGCTCTTAGTTTATTGCCTCATCGGTATCTGTCAGCATTTTGCCGTGTTCTCTTCCGGGGCCAAGATTTTAAGTCATGATTAGTTCTTCTATTCCTCAAAGATGAACAAGAACGTTTGAATGTAATTTCTTTTAAGAAATTAAGTTCCAATTTCTGTAGATACATTTGAAAAGCTAATAGAAAATCCACACTTGTGTCACGTAGCTCCTGTCCAACAACTTAGTTTTCAGTTTTATTGCTTCAGACAGCAATTAGAAAACACAGGATCTGTTTTAGAGCCTTCACTATTTTTTGCAGGGCTAACTAGGTAGACTGGCCGTGGAAAACCTGAGAGCAGTTCCATCTGAGAAGGGCAAAAAAGGCCCCCAAAGCTCTACTAATCTGCTGCTGCTGACATACCAGTAAAATGTATCTGTCGGACTGCAACTGCTGCTCCTCGTCTCTGTGTGTAGTTGTGTAGCTCCTAAAACTTCCAATGCTCTTTTCTGTTTTATTCCACAACTCTGAGACAGACATTTGTGTATTTTCAAAGTAATACTTGCTATGCAGGAAGAGCTCTGCTGAAATAAGACCAGGGCTGCATTTATTCGTGATGAGTCTAGAGCTTTCTGATTCTGCACACAGATAAGAAAATAATCCCTCGCCTTTCTGAAATGGCTAACGGTAGCTGCTGTCTGGGATTGAAGCGGTCAGGCTTCATGTTGTAGTGAAGGCTGAATAAAGGTGCGTGAAGGATCTACGCACCTATGAAATGAACTTCAGGAACTTAAGGCACACAAGGTGAATTCAGGCTTAGGAGCTCACTATGGTGAGTTCTCGAGCCAGGCAAGTGGTTGGTATTTACATGTATGAGGTACAGAAACAGGACCTTCAAGGCTCTCTTTTCAATGTCACCTCCTCACCTGAGTTTCATCTGTAGGATTCTCCTATGCCCCGAATTTGTATAGCCAATTTGTTAGCTCCCTGCACTCCCCTTACGCCCACAACCTCCCTCGCTGGCACAGGGATATGAGAAAGCTGACTTTTTTTTGGGGGGGGGGGGGGGAGTGATGGGGGGAGGGGGA